AACCCAAAGAAAGTTGAAGCAATAGTAAAATGAAAATGGTTGAATAATGATTTTAGATTCATAGTTTTCTAGGTTTAATTGGATACTATGGGCTTTTTGTGGAGGACTTTTCCCATATTGCTATGCCTTTGACTAGATTAATAAAAAATGGAGTTCAATTTGAGTGGTTGAATGATTATGAAAAGAGTTTTGAAGAGCTAAAAAAAATATTGGTTCTTTCTCTTATTTTTATATTGCTTGTTGCTGGTATGAAGTTTACTATTTATAGTGATGCTTCGAAGAAGGGATTAGGTTGTGTTCTTATGTAAGATGATAATGTGATTGTCTATGCTTCTACATAGTTGAAACCTTGTGAAAAGAATTACCCTACTCATAATTTGGGGTCAGCTGCTACAATCTTTACACTAAAAATTTGGAAACACTATTTGTATGGTGAGCATTGTGAGATTTTATAAACCACAACAATTTGAAATACCTTTTCACCTATAAAGAATTGAATATAAGGCAGAAGAGACGGTTAAAGTTGTTGAAGGACTATGACTTGACTATTAGTTACCATTTGGGTAAGGCAAATAAAGTAGTTGATGCTTTAAGTAGAAAGTCCACTAGGAATTTGGCTACAATAATAACTTTTCAAAGATAAATTTTTGAAAAATTGAAGAGAATGGATATTGATGTGCAAATAAGAGGTTCACAAGCTTACTTGGCTAACTTATAAGTTCAGCCTAACTTAATTCAGAGGATTAAAAATAGTCAAGCTAATGATCCCTGACTCTAAAACATTAGACAAGAGGTGGATTCTAGTTCAAAGCTAGATTTTAAGATTCATGATGATGGCTCTTTAAGGTTTGATGATAGAGTTTGTATTCTGAATGACTCAAAATTAAAAGAAAAATTTTTGAAGGAAGCTCATTACAATAATTATACTATTTATCCTGGTAGCATAAAGATGTATAAGGATTTGAAAAGCATTTTTTGGTGAAATAATATGAAAAGGGAGATTTACTTATTTGTTGCTAAGTATTTAACTTGTTAACAAGTTAAATCATGAAATCAGAGGCCAGCCAGATTATTGAAACCTCTTTTTATTCCAAAATGGAAATGGGACCAAATTACTATAGACTTGTATGTGGTTTACCTAGGACGCAAAATGGTAATGATGGAATTTGGGTAACTGTGGATAAATTGACTAAGTCTATAAATTTCTTGGCTATTCGTATAAGAATGTCAATGGAAAGGCTAGCAGAGTTATATGTTGAGCAGATTGTGAGACTTTATGGTGTATCAGTGTCAATTGTATCTAATAGAGATTATTGATTTATAGTAAAATTTTGGGAGAGCTTGCATAAAGCTTTAGGCACTGCCTAAGTTTAAATACTACTTTTCATCCACAAATAGATGGCCAATTGAAAAGGACTATCCAAATCCTAGAAGATATGTTGAGGGTAGAGTTTAGAGGTTCTTGGAATCACTATTTGTCATAGGTAGAGTTTACTTAAAATAATAGCTATCAATCTAGCATCCAAATGGCTCTATTTGAAGCTTTGTATGGTAAAAAGTGTAAATCTCCTATTTATTTGGATGATGTTAGGAAAAGATAATTGTTGGATCTGAATCTTGTTTAGCAAGTAGTTGAGAAAGTTTAATTGATTGGAGAACATCTTTAAGTGGCTCAAAGTCGATTGAAAAGTTATGTAGACAATAGAAGGTGTGAACAGGAGTTTGAGGTTGGAGATAATGTGTTTTTACAAGTTTCTCCGAGTATAGGGGTTATGAGATTTAGATTTATGAAAAACTTAGTCCTCGTTATGTGGATCCATTTGAAATTCTTAATAAGGTAGGAGATGTCTCTTATAGATTGGTACTTCCACCTTCTTTAGCTGGAGTACATAATGTGTTTCATATCATAATGTTGACGAAGTATGTTTTGGATTTGAGTCATATGGTGGAATTAGCACATTTGAGACTTAGAGAAGATTTATCATTTGATGAGTGTCCTAATGCATTGTCAATAGAAATGAGCAAGTTTTGAGAAAAAGAACCATTCCTTATGTTAAAGTTCAATGGAGCAATCATTATGAAAGGGAAGCAACTTGGTAGTTAGAAGAGAATATGGAAAAGAAGTACCCTTATCTTTTTAAGAGCCAAGGTATGAGTTTAGAGGACTAAACTCTTTTTAAGAATGGGAAGATGTAATACCTACAAAATTAGCCTATCATTTTAATTATATTATATGATTATGTCTTTAAAAAAACTTATTTCTTAAAATTTTATTTTTTAGTCCATGTTTTGCCATAGTTAAAAACTTAACTCAATAGAACTTTTATTTACAATCAAAGTATTTTATTAACATGCCTTTTTAATATATGCGTAGTTTTACTTTCAGTGTTATTTTTTGTTAGAAAAAAAAATTAGAGATATAGAAAAAACTAATCCTCGAGAAGAAGAAGAGAGGAAGAAGAAGGGGAAAGAAAATTCAGTTTTAAAATTCTTTGATTTAGGTAAGATTTTGCTTAAAACTTAGAATTTTCATGTTTTGTGTAATTTTTTACAAATTCCATACTAGATTTTTGTATCTTTTCATCTTCAAAAATATTCTGACAACTTTTCAGTGACAATCTAACAAAATTGTGGGTACCAATGGAAAGGTCTATTTAAAACATTTCCAATTGTATGTGTGGCACTTCAATTAGTTGAGAAATTTATGAAACTTTAGTGTTTCAATTTTTTGGGTTTCTAACAATTATAGATGCCCAACTTTAAGCCATTGGAGATCCCTACTCCAATGGCTGATTTAGTTAAACTTTAGGTGTTTTTGACAGTACTAAATATGAATTTGCTAGTGGTACAATTGGTTTGTTCAAATGATTTATAGGCTAAGAGAATTGGCCTCAAAGTATGCTTCATGAATCTAAAACCCAAAAAATTTGGACTATTTGTGATAAATTACGAAGTTTTGGCCTTCAAAATTTAGGCTTTTGAAAATCATTTTTGCCGAAACAAATTTTTAAGTTGTAGTATTACATCCTTACTTTAAATTTGTGCCACCTTTTGTCATTAGGAACTGTAGGATGTTTGGGTTTTCGTGTCTCAAAGTAAGCCAAATGATCATAGAATGTGAAATTTTAATAATCTATAATTTTTTGTTTTTAATTATTTTTTTAAAAAAATTATTTTCAGCCAATATTTGATTTACTTAGTTATAAATTACATGAGTTTTAGTTAAATTTTTTTAAATAAATTTTTACTTATTTTAATATATTTTTGTTTTGTTAATTTCATATTATTAATATTTTTAAATGACTATTAAGTTATATTCAGATTTAAAGAAAAATACTTCCAAATAGTTTTGAGTTGTTGATAATGTTGCCACACTACCCAATTTGCTTAGAATGACTTGATAAAGGTTTGCCTTATTAAATCTAAGTAATCGGGATAAATTATGATTTTTGAATATTTCTTAAATTATTAGGTACTAAAAGAATTAAGTGATTGGCTGCTTAAGTTTTAGTTTAGTGTATCAGGTATGTGACTTGACATCCCTTTGATTTTTATATCTTTAAAAATCAACCTCAATATGTTTAAAGTTGAAATATATAATATATATTATTTTGTAAATCGGGTTGAGCATGCAAAAATATATATATGATTTCTTTGTTATGAGTTTAGAATATGGTTTAGTATTGTTTTGATTTTTGAATATAATTTAGTATCAATATATAGTTATATACCTATCGATTGTCGGAATATGAAATTTTTCTTTAGAGTAGTTATGAAAATGACTTTGTATGGATTATATTTTTGAGAAGGTATATGAATATCAATTTTGTCTATATTAGATAATCTGAAAATATATTTTAGTTTTGTCTCCTAGTATGACTATATTTTAGCTCCACAAACAGAGGTCAATTGTTAGCCATGTCGACATGTATTTGTGATATCGATACCAATTTTGAACCGTGCCACCAGTTAAGAATAGTGATTTGTGTTTATCATACCATCAGTGATATACTTCTGTTGCATTGCACTAAAGGGTTACTTTTCTCTTATTGCACTAATGGGTTAATTATGATTGTTCAGTGTAACTACTCAGTTACTTCTGATATACCTTTGTCCCATTGCACTAAAAGAAAAATTTTGATTCTGACTTATACCACAAGGATTAAGTGTGATTGTAATATGTTACAAGAGATTAATAAACTTTACAATTTTGTGATGTTTTATTTTGCTTTAAAATATGAGATTTTGATTTTAAGATATGATTTACAGAAATGTGTTTGAATACAAAATTACCTAAAATAGTTTCGAATCATTTAGTTACTGTTTTGGCCTAAATGTTTTGTAAGATGCTTAATCTAACTGAAGGGATGTTGGTTACCTACTGAATTGTTGTACTCATTCATTTCTTTAATATTTTTTTACAGGTTAAAATTTTGATTATGCTCATAAGAATTTTGAGGAGTGATGTTCCAAAACTTTAGTTGCTGTTATAAGATCTTTAGGATTTGTTTAGATGCTTAGAAGTATAAACTTTTATAATTAATTAGTTATGACTTTAAAGAGATATTTTGAGATTTATGAATTTTTTAGATATTTCTTTTTTATGATAAAAGATATTAAATGCTGTGAACTTTTTGTTTTCAATCATGTTTGTCTTATTTATATTTATAAGTCTTAGTATGTTTTTAGCCTTGTATATCTGTAGGATCACATCTTGCAAATGTGCAGTATTTGTTATAACTTGGTTTGGGGCATGACAATTTAGTGGTATCAAAGCCTAGGTTTCTTAATCTTAGTTTTGCACAAACAATATTTTTAATGGTTTAGACACTTTTACGAATGGTGAGTGTGGGGTTGAAAACTTAAGTTTGGGCCGTTTCTTTATTCTTACTTCTTTTGTTAAGCTTGCTTTTTTTTTTGGTTAATGAAAATGCATTTTTGTATTATGTTTGCTATTGTGATTGAATCAATATGCCTTCTTGTCACAATTGTGAACTTACCTTTAGATCGTAGCTAATGTTAGGGCTGGTGGCTCTAAGAGTTCTCATCCTAAGAGACACCATAGTTCATAGGGTCAAAATAAGGATTAGAGTGATACTATTGTAACAAATGCTTAGAGAGGTGTTGGTAATAATTGGCTTCTTACTAATCAGACTTTAGGAGCACACAGTGCTATGGTTGGGTATGATGATAAGGTTTTGGGTTTGATTGATGAGGTTATTAGTTTGGTAAGGGATCAATGGCAACACCAGTCACCGTTGCAACATGTTGACAATTCTATGGAATGAGAAGCTTTAGGTGAGTTTAAAAAGATAGCACTATTTTCTTTTAAGGGTTCTACGAACCCTAATGATGTCGAATTATGGATTGAAGAAATTGAGAAAGCTTTTGATGCTATGTATACCTAAGAGTAAGATAAGATCATATTTGCTACCTGTTTGCTACAAGGTAGTGCAAATAATTGGTAGAAGGGTGTAGCTAGCACACACGAGGGAGATCTTAAATTCTTTACTTGGAAAAACTTTTGGGCTATTTTTTATAAAAGTATTTTCCTTAAAGTAAGTTGCTACAAGTGGAAAGGGAGATTCTTAATCTGGTTTAGGGTAGCATGATTATGGATGATTATAAGGTTGAGTTTGATCGATTGTTGAAGTTCGATACTTCTCTTGTTATTTATGATGAGAGTAGAGTTTGAAGGTTTGAAAATGGCCTGAATGCCATGTTTAAAAAGGCCTTGCTCATTTACACTTGAATGCTTATAATGAAATGGTTGGTAAGGCAAAGTCCCTTAATTTGGTTTGGAGAAAGACTCAGGAAATGAGAAAAATTTTTCAAAGAAAAAGGGTAGAGTTTTATATTCTCATAGAAAGGGGGCTTTTAGTGGTCTTTCTAAATTTCAAACTGTTGAAAGGTTTTGAGCTTATTTTACCTCTAAAAGTAAGTTTTTTTTATGGAGAGCTCAATCCTACCATGGCAAGATGTATCAACCAAGGCTTAGGTGTTTAGTTTATGGTGGTGGACATTAAGTTGCTAAATGTAGGCATGTTAATGGTGCATGCTTTAGATGTGGCCAATAGGGTCACTGTATTGCTAATTATCCTTTGAATCCTTAAGAGTCGTAAGTAGTATAGAAGCCTCAAAACTTTCAATTCTTTGAATCGTCTGTAGTCTAAAAATATGCCTCTAAATTAAGCTCCTTAAATTACACAAACATCTTCTTTTAGAGCATAGAAAGGGGGGAGACATTGTGCTTAAGGTCGTGCTTATACCTTAACTCAATAGGATGTGAAAGCATTAAAAACTGTTGTCTCAGGTATTCTATCGGTTACCTTAGTTTATGCTTATGTCTTGTTTGATATTGGTGCTTTGCATTCTTTTATTTCATCTATTTTTATGCAAAAATCTGTTATGTGTAGTATGCTTTTCGAATATGATTTATGTGTAGACATTCTTGTTAGAGGTCAACTTTTGTCTAATCAAATTTGTAAAATATGCTTTATAAAATTAAGGGTAAGAAATTATTTACCGATCTACATGTTTTAGAAATGCATGATTTTGATATGATTTTTGGAATGGATCGATTGTCTACTCACTAGGTTAAGGTCGATTGTGGAAAAAAGTAGGTAGATTTTGAAATTCCTAGTAAACCACTTTTTAGTTTTCATGGTAGTGGAGCATATGCTCCTTTGCGAATTATTTCTGCCTTACAAGCTAAATGATTAATCAAAAGTGGTTGTAAGGTGTATCTAGCAACTGTGATTGATATTAGAACAAAAAAGTTGGCATTAGAAGACATTCTTATTGTGAGGAAATTTTTAGATGTCTTTTCTGATGATCTTTTTAGGTTACCTATTGATCAAGAAATTGACTTTCTTATTGATTTGGTTTTAGGTATCGATCCTATTTTTAATACTCCTTATAGAATGGCTCCTACAGAGTTGAAAAAATTAAAAGAGCAGTTACAAGAGCTTTTTAATAAAGGTTTCATTAGACCCAGTATGTCTCCATAGGGAGCTTCAGTATTGTTTATAAAAAAAATGGTAGTATCAGGTTGTGTATTGATTATCACAAGTTGAACAAGGTAAGTGTGAAGAATCGATATCCTTTTCCTTTTATTAATGACATATTTGATTAGTTAAATGGTGCTTAGCTGTTCTTTAAAATAGATATTCGATTTGGGTATCATCAATTAAAGGTCAAAATCGAAGATATGCCTAAAACTACCTTTTGAACTCAATATGGGCATTATGAATTTCTTGTGATGCCATTTAGGCTGACTAATGCTCCATACGCTTTTATGGATTTGATGAATAGGGTTTTTAAACCTTATTTGGATAAATTTAAGGTTATTTTTATTAATGGCATATTAGTTTACTCTCTTAGTTTAGAAAAGCATCAACAACATTTGAAATTTGTTTTAAAAACCTTGAAGTAAAAGCAACTATTTGCTAAGTTTAAAAAATGCGAATTTTGGATCTCTAGTATGGCTTTTCTAAGGCACGTGGTGTCAAATGATGGAATTTTCATTGACCTAAAGAAAGTTGAAGTGATAGTAGAGAGAAAAAGGTCGAATAATGTTTTTAATTTTCATAGTTTTCTAAGTTTAATCAGATACTATAGGCACTTTATAGAGGATTTTTTTCATATTGCTATGCCTTTGACTAGATTGATTAGAAAGGGAGTTCGATTTGAGTGGTCAAATGATTGTGAAAAAAAATTTTGAAGAGCTAAAAAAAATATTGGTTTCTGCTTATATTCTTACATTACCTATTGCTGGTAAGGGCTTTACTAATTTTGGTGATGTTTCAAAGAATGGATTAGGCTATGTTCTTATACAAAATGATAATGTGATTGCCTACACTTCTAACTGTTGAAACCTTATGAGAAAAATTACCCTACTCATGATTTAGAGTTAGCTGTTGTAGTCTTTGCATTGAAAATTTGGAAACACTATTTGTATGGTGAGTCTTATGAGATCTTTACAGACCACAAAAGTTTGAAATACCTTTTCACCTAGAAAGAATTGAATATAAGGTAGAGAAGATGGTTAGAGTTGTTGAAGGACTATGACTTGACTATTAGTTACCATTCAGGTAAGGCAAATAAGGTAGCTGACATTTTAAGTAAAAAGTTCGCTTGGAATTTGGTTGCAATAATAACTTCTTAGAGATTGATTTTTAAAGAATTGAGGAGAATGGATATTGATATGGGAATAAGAGGTTCTAAAGCTTACTTGGCTAACTTATGAGTTCAACCTAACTTAATTTAGAGGATTAAAGATGTTTAAGCTAATAATCCCTGACTCCAAAACATTAGACCAGTGATGGATTCTAGTTCAAAGCCAGACTTTAAGATTCATAATGATGGCTCTTTGAGGTTCAGTAATAGAGTTTGTATTCTAGATGACTTAGAACTTAAAAGAAAAATTTTGGAGAAAGCTCATTATAGTAATTATACTATTTATCTTGGTAGTACAAAGATGTATAGGGATTTGAGAAACAATTTTGGGTGCAATAATATAAAAAGAGAGATTGTCCAATTTGTTGCTAAGTGTTTGACTTGTTAGTAAGTTAAAGTTGAACATCAAAGGCCAATGGGACTGTCGAAACCTCTCCCTATTTTGGAATGAAAATAGGAATGAATTACTATAGATTTTGTATATGATTTACCTATGACACAAAAAAGTAATAACAACATTTAGTTAATTATGGATAGATTGACAAAATCTACATATTTCTTGGCTATTCCTATAAAAATATCATTGGACAGGTTGGCAAAGTTATATGTTGAGCAAATTGTGAGACATCATGGTGTACCAGTGTCAATTGTATCTGACAAAGATTTTCAGTTTGTAGCAAAATTTTGGTAAAGATTGTATAAAGCTTTTGGCACCTCTCTAAATTTTAGTACTATTTTTCATCTGTAAATAGATGGCCAATTAAAAAGGACTATCCCAATCTTGGAGGATATGTCAAAGGCATGTGTCATAGATTTGGGAGGTTCTTAGGATCACCATTTATCATGGGTAGAGTTTGCTTACAATAATAGCTATTAGTCTAGCATCCAAATGGCTCCATTTGAAACTTTGTATGGTAGGAAGTGCAGATCCTTATTTGTTAGGATGATGTTGGAAAAAGACACCAATTGGTTCTAGATCTTGTTCAGTAAGCAATTAAGAAAGTTTAATTGATTAGAAAACATCTTTGGGTGGTTTAAAGTTAACAGAAAAGTTATGCAAACAATAGAAGGCATGAACTAGAGTTTGATGCTAGAGATCATGTGTTTCTATGAGTTTCTTTGAGTAGAGGGGTTATGAGGTTTGGAATTCATGGAAAACTTAGTCCTTATTATGTAGGTCTATTTGAAATTCTTGATAAGGTAGGAGATGTGACTTATAGATTGGCATTTCCACCTTCTATGGCTGGAGTACATAATGTGTTTCATGTCTCAATGTTAATGAAGTATGTTTCAGGTCCGAGTTATGTGGTAGAGTTTGTACCTTTGAGACTTAGAAAAGATATATCATTTGATGATCATCGTATATGCATTATCGATAGAAAGAAATAGGTATTGAGAAGAATAACTATTCTTTATGTTAAGGTTCAATGGAGTAATTATTCTGAAATAGAAGCAACTTGAGAGTTAGAAGCGAATATGAAATAGAAGTATCCTTATCTTTTTAAAAGCCAATGTATGAGTTTAGTCATCTAAACTCTTTTTATGGAGGGGAGGATGTAATACCCACAAAATTAGCCCATGGTTTTAATTATATTATATGATTATGTCTTTTTAAAAAAAAAAAACTTATTTCTTAAATTTTTATTTTTTATCCCATGTTTTGCCATAATTAAAAACTTGACCCAATAGAACTTTTATTTACAATAAAACTATTTTATTAACATGCCTTTTTAATATACGAGTAGTTTTACTGTTGGTGTTATTTTTTTTCAAAAAAAGAAATTGGAGATTTAGGAGAAGCTAACCCTCGAGAAGAAGAAGAAAGGAAGAGGAAGGGCAAATCAGTTTTAAAAATCTCTTGTTTAGGTAAGATTTTGCTTAAAACTCTTACAATTTTCATGTTTTGCACAATTTTCTACAAACCCTAAACTAGATTTTTGATCTTTGCATCTTTAAAAATATTTGGAAGCTTTCCGGTGACAATTTTGCAAAATTATGGGTACCAATGGAAAGGTCTCTTCAAGACCTTTTTTAATGGTATGTGTGGCACTTTAATTAGTTGAGTAATTTAAGAGAATTTAGTATTTTTAATTTTTAATTTTTGGGTTTCTGACAATTACAAATGCTCAACTTTAAGCCACCAAAACTCTCTACTGCAGTGGCCGATTTGGTCAAACTTTAGGTGCTTTTGATAGTATGAAATGTGAACTTTCTAATAGTACAACTGGTTTGTTCAGATGCTTTATAAGCAAAGAGAATCAAAGCTCCAAAATAAGCTTTATGAATCTTAAATGCAAAAAATTTGGACTATTTGTGATAAATTATAAAGTTTTAGCCTTCGAACTTAGGCTTCAAGAAATCATATTTGCTGAAACAAAATTTTAGGTTATAGTATTACATGTTGACTTTAAATTCCTACCTCCCTTTGTCATTAAGAATTGTAGGATGATCAAGTTTTTATGGTTCAAAATAAGCCAAATGATTACAGAATGTGAAATTTTCATAATCTAAAAATTTTCATTTTTAATTATTTAAAAAAATTGTTTTCAACTAATGTTTGATTTACTTAGTTATAAATTACATGAGTTTTAGTTATATTATTTTTAATAAATTTTTACATGAGATTAATATCCAATTTTTATTTTTAAGGATTGATTTTTTATTCATTTGATAAATTATTGCAATGCATATTTATTTATAAAATATACTTTTCTCACTCAATTTATATTTATTAAAATAAAAAAAAAGTATTCTTAAATAAAAACTTTGACTGCAAAGCACAAGATACATATATGTTAATTATTATTTTAAAAGAATTTTCATATTATAAATTCTAAAACATGAAACTAAATTTAGTATTTTAAATTATGCACTAAGCGAATATATTATTTGAGAGATGATGTGCCAAATTTTGTAAGGATTGCTGCAGTTTTTTTGTAAGTTAAAAAAGAAGTTAAAGGAAACCAAAATAAGTGAAAATTACAATGCTAAACCTTATCTGCCTGATAGAAGAAGCACTGGAATTGGAAAGGTGTTGAGCTGCAAATATTTTGTTAGACTCAGTCAACGCCTAATTCTGATCACGCTTCTTTTATTCCTACTTTATAATTTAAGAAACCTATCTTTGATATCATTCAATTTGTTAACGACGACAGTCATGGCCATCCCCTCAGTTGGTGATATTGCAGAACCCGAGAGTCCAATTTTCAGCACTGGAACTATGAATTCTTCCACCATGTTTAAACCACTGATCACTTGGGGTTTCCTCCTCGTGAATAACTCACTCTCTTCTTCCCGTTCTCTTCCTCGGAAAGCATTGATAGGTCAACAACATCCATGACATGTTCAGGTAAGGCTACTTCAATTAAATCGTGAAGGCTCTGATCGTCTTTAAACATGTCATCTGTTGGACTTTTACCTGTAAACATCTCCAGTAATAGTAACCCATAGCAGTAAATATCTCCATATATCGAAGCTTGACCACCTATGCCATACTCTGCAATTTGTAACAGATTTCAATTAATTAGTCATCTGTGAATGCAATTTCACGACTGCTAATATATGCAAAAACATGGAATTTTATAATTGAGCAAATCACAACAATTGTTTAAAGGCTCATTAGTTTTTGAGCTTTGAAAATAGTGAATTATCAATAGAGGAAGAAGACAATTATTGAATAAATTGTAATTAATCAGCTTGAAAGCATACCAGGAGGAATGTACCCGATTGAACGCCTTACCTGGTTCGATATGGTTTGATATCTGGAGGGATTATTTGATAAATCAACTAAGAACTTTGCCAATCCTAAGTCACCAACATGTGCAGTCACGTTTTCATCAAGGAGTACATTGCTTGGTTTTAGATCGCAATGAACACTTGGTATTTGACATTGGTAATGAAGACAGTCCAAAGCAGAAGCGACATCAATGGCTATATTCAGTCTCTGAATAAGGCTTAACTTCTTATTCTGATACTAATCATTAGCTCCACGATGCAGCCATTGATATAGGCTTCCATTGGACATAAAATCAAATACAAGACACTTGAAGTCATTTCCTTGATGATCAATACTGGAGCAAGCAGTCATAATCCTTGGGAGGTTACGATGTTGTACACTTCTCAAAGCATTGCATTCATCAATAAAACTCTTAGAAGCTCCTGGCTGTTGAAGGTTTAATACCTTAATTGCAACAATTGTTCCATCGTTAGCAATATATCCCTTATATACAGAACCAAAACTATCAGAGCCAATCAGGTTTTCTTCAAAGAAGCCATTAGTTGATTTTACAATATCTGAGTAAGACATACCTGATTGCCACTCCTTGGAGAAAGATGGACTCACTATAGGAGTTTAAGTTTTTAGTGGCATTTTTTTTAACGTTTAGCGGCGTTTATAAACACCATTAAAAAATTTGTGGTATTTGTCAAAAATGTCAGTCAGAATGCCGCCTATACACGCATCGTTATAAATAGTAGCATTTTCTATAAAACTCTAGTGGTGTTTGTATTTTAAAAATGTCACTATATTAACGACGTTTTGCATTTGAAAAATGCCACTATATTAGAGGCATTTGTATTTAGAAAATGCCGTTATTTTAACGACGTTTGCATCTTTAAGATGCCGCTAATTTAGTGGCATTTTTATCATAAAAACGCCTTTAATATAGTGGCATTTGTATTAAAAAAACACCACTAATTTAATGGCGTTTGTATTTAAAAACGTCGTTAAATGTTGAAAATAGTGGCATTTGTAGTAAAAACACCACTAAATTTAACTGCATTTTCTGATATAAACATTACTAAATTTAGCATTTAGTCGCATTTTTTAATACAAACGCCGCTAAATCAAAATTTTGACTTTTTTTTAATTTTTCTTGTAATACTTATTATAATTAAATAAAAATTGTTAAAAGAAATAAAAATGAATTTAAATTCATAAACTGAATATTATAAATATTTAAATATCTAAATACATAATTTGTTCAAATATGCATGTAACACAAAGTTTAATACATACAATAACATTCCACTTTGCATTTGTTTTCCTCTTGCCCATCAACGGACTCCATGGAAGGAGTCGCACTTGCTTTGAGTGGAGCCTACAAGACCCATTCCTCTTCTTAGCTTTCATTGCTAAAGAGAACATTTCTCCATGAACCTCAAAATGTGCTATTAGAAATGCATCACTGTACATTTCATTTATCTTCTTCACAACTTTATGTTCCATCCTGATTGAAAAATGTCATTGGGTAAGCTATAAAAAGTACCATAAAATTTGTAATGCAAGATAAAATCAAGGAAGATATACAAGATCTCATTGTTACATACATACAAAAATAACAAAGAAATAGATTTAACCAAAGCAACAAACTAAGACATATTTTTTGGCCAATGATTAAGATAAATGCACAAGGTAAAAGGATGGACACTCCTTCTCTGAGTGCATTTCACAAAAATGCCTTTCATAATAATAGTTCTTCCATTTTGCATATTTCATTATGAAATTGCTAAACTTGAAATGCAGTGCCATATAATTTGAGGGAAATAAAATATACGAAAGACTGAGGATAGATCTTTAATCAAGTTCATGTTTGATTCCATTGGAAAAATATAAAGATTATTTGATTTCATGGAGTTTATAAGATAAACCATTTCAAATCATATTTTCAGCTCATAAATAAATTCATAGAAATAAATGGATTCAAATGCTTCAAAAAGAAAATAAACCAATCTTTCAAAATAAAATGACCATGCAACAAAGTTTCAAGAGGTAAATGCAAATTGTGTAATGGATAAATCAACTATGCTATACCTTGAACTGATGGTATAGCTGTGTCTATAAAGATCAATGCTTTTATAGACTTAGTAGCAACAAAAACCGTATCATGGAATCATTAGAAAGTAATTGAAAAAAGTATAAAAGACCAATCTAAGTTGATAGGTCTATAGTATGCACCTTTCAACTACTACAATACATCAATCAAGTTTGCTACAAAATTCAACAAGAAAATGGTAGCAAAATAGAGAAATAGCTTAATGAACTAGCAACTCAAGTGATACTTAAAACAGAGAAAAACAGAGAAAAACAGAGTATGAACAACTAAATCTATCCAAACATCAAATGAATTCATGAAAATAAATGCAATCAATTAAAAAATAATGAGTAAACATGTAAAACTAAGAATGTCAAATATGAGAGAATCAAATCAAACACCTAGAAGGAGAGAAGATCATCATTCATCAAGTTCTTATGCCTGGATTGTTTTTGCCTTTTGGATTCAGCCTTAACTTTGACAAATTAACTGTACTTGTATGGATGGAATTTGAGGCTGAATTTTTATTGGATTATAGCTTATGAACTAGGAATCTAGGAAAAAAATTTGAAGTAAATCAAGCTAGAATTCACTAAGTTTTGTTCAAAGACTGAAGATAGGTCAGGTATACAGTTTTGAAACCATATTTGAGTTCAATATGAATTTTATAGAATTTGAAAAGGAAATCATGAGAATTTGTAAATTTCATTATGAAAATCTTAAAGAACATTCAAAAAGAGTGTAGGAAACCTAAAATTGTAACAATATTCAATTAAGAAAACTAAAATTAAAAGCCATTTGGTTGGAGAGAAAATGAAAGTGACGGCAGATCAAGTTCTGACAAGAAAAATGAAAGGTAAAATATCAGTTTGTGCTATAAGTTGCACCGAAAAAAATATATGGAAAGCATAAACTTCTTATAAGACAGTTGATTAGTCATAAAATATGGCCTAAACAAGAGTCAAGAAAGTAAGAATAAGCATCAACAAATATCATACAAACTTTCATGTGAAACCATGGCCTCCCACCCTAAAATCCCTTAGCTTCTGACAAATTATTAAAAGAAGTTCTTTTTGTAATAAAATACAAGATTCAAGTGCATTCAGTTATCATGAATTTAGACTTTTATACAATTCTCATGATTCGAAAGATTTTTTTCAAAATAATTATGTTTCTCACTTTCTCTCACACTCACCCAAGCACATTCAACACATTAAATCAAACAGCAGGAAAATATTTCTATATTAAACCAGCAGAGATAGAGCAAGAATCAAGGTAAAGCATTCACATATAGATATGAGATAAGTGAGAGCAACCTTGTGCTGGAGTACTCAAAGAGCTTTCTAGCGGTTGAAAAGACTAGAAAAGCTATATTAGCATCGCAAAGAGTGGAAAGCTCATAAGCTTTCTTGAAAATCATCATCTCTTTTTTGAGAAAGTCACCTATCTCGTTGCTACATTGTCAATCTTCTTGATTTGAATTTTCTTTCTCGCCATTCTTTTCTAAGAAAAAAGCTAAGGAAAGAAAAGAAATTATAGAGAAGAAAGAAGGGGTTTAAATTTTGAAAAAAAATTTTAGCAATGTCATTTTTTCACGATAGCAGCATTTACTTAAAAAAACATCACTCTTTGCAAAAAGGATTATTGAAGGCGTTTCAGGCAAAAAAACACCTTCAATAATCCTTTTAAATTTTTTAGAGAGGATTATTGAAGGTATTTTCTGTAAAAAACGCCTTCAATAATCCCCTTAAATTTTGATAAGAAGATTATTGAAGGTATTTTTTGGCTAAAAACATCTTCAATAATCCCCTCTAATTTTTTAGAGGGGATTATTAAATGCCTTTTCTGTAAAAAAAAAATTCAATAATCCCCTTAAATTTTGATGAAGAGATTATTGAATGCGTTTTTTACCAAAAATCCTTTTAATAATCTTTTTTTTATTTTTTAGAGGGGATTATTGATGGCATTTTTTAACCAAAAATGCCTTTAATAATCCTATCCCCATTTTTTAGAGGGGATTATTGATGGTATTTTTTGACCAAAAATATCTTTAATAATCCCATCCAATTTTTTAGAGGAGATTATTAAATGCGTTTTCTGTAAAAAAATACCTTCAATAATCTTCTTTATTTTTATGAAGGGATTATTGAATGCGTTTTGTGAAACGCTTTCAATAATCCCTTTCAATTTTTTATGATGGATTATTAAAGAAGATTAGTGGCAGTTTTGTAGTAGCATTTCACTTACAATCCCCGTTAGTTTCCATGTTTTTATAAAACTTAAGGCGTTTATTATCAAAACGCCACTAAATATTCAAATAGCAGTGTTGTTACTTATAAATGCCATTAAAGACAAAAATTAGCGACGTTTACTGACTAAAACGCCTTGAATAATCATTTTTAAAAAATTAGAGTGATTATTGAAGGTGTTTTTTTTTACAGAAAACGCCTTGAATAATCCTCTCATAAAAATGGATAGAGAATTATTGAAGGCATTTTTGATAGACAACGCTTTGAATAATCCTCTCATAAAAAATAGAAGTGATTATTGAAGTTGTTTTCTACAAAAAAATACTTTCAATAATTTTTCTAAAAATTTGTAAAGGATTATTGAAGGCATTTTTGGTAAAAAAATGCCTTCAATAATTTTCTTCATTTTTTATGAGGAGATTATTGAAGGCGTTTTATGCAAAAAAAAATACCTTTAATAATCCTCTCTAATTTTTTTATAAGGGATTATTGAAGGCATTTCAAGCAAAAAATACCTTGAATAATCTGCTCATAAAAAATAGAAGCGATTATTAAAGGCGTTTTCTATAAAAAAAAAAATGCCTTCAATAATTTCTTTGAAAAATTGTAGAAGATTATTGAAGACATTTTATGCAAAAAATGCTTTCAATAAATCTTCTTGTCAATGAATCTACCAACAATGTGGTAGCATTGTCAATTAAAACATACAATCCTTAATCATAAGGTTGTAGGTTTGATCCCTCTCTTTAGCATTTTTCAGGTTTTTTGTAAGATTGTTAAAGGCGTTTTCTAGCTAGAAACGCCTTCAGTAATCCCTTTTTAGATTTTTTGAAAGATTATTGAATGTATTTTCTGGCCAAAAACGTCTTTAGTAATCTCTTAAAAAAATTTAAAAAATGCTAAAGGGAATGATCAAACCTACGATCTTATGGTTAACAACCATATACTCTAACCGATAACGCTACTCTATTTTTGGTAAATTTATTGACAAAGAAATTTATTGAAGGTGTTTTTAACTAAAAACGCCTTTAATAATCTTCTATAATTTTTTAGAGGAATTATTAAAGGCGTTTTTTTTATATATAAAAAACGCCTTTAATAATCGCTTTTATTTTTTATGAGTAGATTATTTAATGTATTTTTTTTTCTGAAACGCTTTCAATAATCCCTCATAAAAAATTAGAGGGGATTATTAAAGGCGTTTTTTGCACAAAACGCCTTTAATAATCCCCTTATAAAAAATGAAAGGGATTATTGAAGGAGTTTTTTGACAAAAAATTTATTGATTGGATTATAGAAGAAGAGTTCGGCTAAAAACGCTTTCAAGAATCGACTCCATATTTTTTTCTATGGATTATTAAGGGCATTTCTCTGCGAAAAATGCATTCAATATTTCTGCAAAAATTTTTAAAGCAATTGGTGAAAGCATTTTTGCTAAGAAAATGCCTAGAATAATCAATTATAAATAATCTCTACAAAAACCAATAAAAGGCTAAAGGGAGGGATCGAACCTATAACCTTATGGTTAACATCCGTACAATCCAAAATTTTAATATGATATTTATTGAAGGCATTTTTGAACAAAAATGACTTCAATAAGCTTGTGAAATTTTTTGGTCCAATTATTAAAGGTGTTTTTTTTTTTTTTTATAAAAAAGTCTTCAATAATCTCATAAAATTTTTTATTAGGTGATTATTGAAGGCGTTGTCTGCCAAAAATACGCCTTTAGTATTCACTGAAATTTGTAAGGCAAAATTATTCAAGGCGTTTTGGTTGAGAAACATTGCTGATATCAAGTCTTAAGTGACGTTTATAAGTAATAACGACGTTATTTGAATAGTTAATAACGTTTTAATAATAAACATCTTAAGTTTTATAAAAACATAGAAGCTAGCGGCATTTATAAGTGAAAGACCGTTACAAAATTGCCGTTAATATGTTATTTTCTTGTAGTGACTAGAATGACTCCTTGCATTTCTTACTAAATTATAAGTAAAAAAATAGCATAAGAGAAGAATTATTGATGCGCCTATACCAACGAAGACAGAGAATGGAGATTACTATCAGGGTGAGGCTTTTTCCAGAACTAGAGCTGGAGCAAGGAGGTAAATGGAACTGTGAGACACCGCCACAAAGCTTACTGTTTCCACTAAGGAAAATGGCACTTGCATTTGCAAATATGCCTTCTTGGGACACTTCACCCACAAAATCATTTAAGAAAGATTAGGATACCTGAGAGATAAAATCTTGCTTAGAAAAGCTTAGGAATCTGGCTGGTCAGATTGTTGTATGACAGATCTATTTCTTCTATACCTCTTAGAGATTTCAAAGATAAAGGAACTGTTCCTCCAAATGCAGGCTTTCTAAATTAGTACAACTGGCTAGGCTGCTGGGAATTTAGTATGGTGCCACTCAGGTTATTGCTTGACAAATTTAGTGCAAGCAACTTCTGGCAGTTTCCAAGACTTGAAGGGATACTTCCCTCAAATCTATTATCATGTAGATAGAGCCCAACCGGTAGAGTCAAGTTACCTAATGAAGAAGGTATTGACCGAGAAAATCTGTTACCTTCCAAATCCAATTCCTCTAGTTTTTGAAGCTTCCCTATAAAAGTGGGAACACTGCGAGTGAAGTAGTTATTTTCCAATCCTAGAATGGACAGACTAACAAGGTTCCCAATCCCAATAGTGATACCTCCGTGAATCAGATTCTCCCCCAAAGTCAAACGTTGCAACTGGTTTGAAAGGTTGGCTGTGGAACTTGGCAATTCTTCTCCAAAACGATTTCCCGCGAGACCCAACACTTCAAGAGAAGTTCAATCAGACAAGAAATTGAGAAAGCTCAGGTCACCAATTTCCCCAGTTCCAAGTTTATTATCATCAAAATTGAGTCTAATCAAACCTGCCAAGCTCCCCAGATTTCTAGGCGTGGTTCCAGTAAGACTATTATTAGCGAAGTCGATTATTTGAAGTCCAGAAGCATTTGACAATGATACCGGAATAGGTCCAGTAAAATTGATAAGACCTCCGGCAAATACTAGGAGATTAGGAAGAGTGAGGCCAATATCTGGTGGTAGCTGCCCATGCAGCTGGTTTTGAGCAAAAGATACGAACTGTATTGAAGAAATATTATAAATTGAAGTAGGGACTTTACCTGACAGATGATTCTCACAAACTTGAAAATTTTCCAAGCCTGATAGTTGGCCAAGTTCATAAGGCATGCTTCCTTGTAAATTGTTCATTGCTAGCAAAAGAGAATTAAGAGAAGAAAGGTTACCGATCCAAGCAGTGATTCTTCCAGTAAGGTTGTTACCTGTAAGACGCAGGATTACCAATTTTGTTAATAAGCTTAGTTGGTCCGGATCTGCCCAATGAACTCATTGAAAGAAGTGTCAAGTACTCTAAGATGCGTACAATGAGTTAGATTGGTTGGAATTTTCCCGCTAAAAGAATTGTGTGTCAAATTGAGATGCTGCAGGCGCAAAAGACGTCCGATTTCTTCAGGAACGTCACAATGAAAGACATTTTCTCCTAGGTTGATTCCAGTAAGGAATGTAAGGTTTTCAATGGAAGGTGATATAGACCCAATTAACTTTTGATTCTCCAGGATTAAAACCACGACTCTTTACTGTACGGGTTGCATGTGACGCCAATCCTGTTGCAGAAACAAGGTAAGGGAAATCTCAGCTGAGAAAAAGAAACTTTTTATAAGAACACAATAAATTCTGGCATGAGAGCTGAATATTTGAGAGACAGTAAAAGCCCAACAGTAACAATGTCTCAGGTCAAATCGAGACAATTAAATTGACAAGATGCAACTTGAAATTTCGTATACTCGTATACATTTAACAAGCGATGAGAATTATATTAAATAGTAATAAAATTAATATAATTGTTATTAAAAATAAATTTTTAATTATGATTAAAATATTTTATAAAAAATTTTATATTAAATAAATTTTATTTAAATTAATATTTAAATTTAATGAATAATATAATAAATTTAATTATATCATAATTATTCAAATAAATACTTAATCATCACAAAATTAATCCAACAATTTGTTTAAAATAAAAGATAAATTCAGAAAAGGAAAAAAAATTGCGAAGAATCATTGATGGAACATTAAAGCTAGTCTCAAGAAACTGAATATCGGGGGGGGGGGGGGGGATAAAAATAAAAAATTTAAAATTGATTTAAAATTATAATATTTGATTTTCTATAGATAGATTTTTTTATTTGATTTTAATCAAATTTGAATATTAAATATATATATAAATATATATATTAGATTTGAATTGAATTTAAGATCATAAAATAAAAAATTAAAAAAAAATTGAGTCGAATTATATTTTTTTTAATTTTTATACATATTTTAAATTTTTATAAAATAAAACATAATAATTTTTTATCAAAATCTACTTAAATATATTAAAATTTTATATTAAAAAATTAAAAATTAAAAATCAATAAATTAAATTGAATTTAACTAATGAAATTTGATTCAATTCAATTTGAATCGAATGAAAAATTGATTTGAATTAAGATCAAATTTAAATTTTTATAATATTATATAATATCTAAAAAATTCGAATCAAATCCTATTCGAATTAAATCGGTATCACTCTTTTAAATATGAACAAAAATTGAAGGTACTTTTCAGGTGTGCTATGAAACAGCTTGTTTGACACTGCTAATTTCCTTTTTCTTTCACGGAGGAATGATTTCATATGCTCTGAAAAAATGATCACAAGGCTTTAGTTTGGGTTTTCATTTCCATTACAAATTTCATCCAACAACAATTTAATATAAAAGTGCATTATTTTATCATAATATATATATATATACACCTCATTAAATAGCCCAAATTTGTTACACCGGGACACTAAGTTCTGAAAATGTTATTTCTTTTGAATTATGAAATCAATGACTCATACAATAAGCCTTATTGGGTTACTTTTTCGGTTGAACTTGCAGGTCAAAACTCAGAGAGGTGATTATGCACTCAAAAGAAAAAGGAAATCTGGAGAGGTGGTCTGGTCTTTATAGTTTAAATTCCCAACAACGTTCATTTAAGATGTGGGGTCCGATGGCTTTCACTAGATCCTTGAAAATGTGATTGTTACGCTTTCGAATTGGTGTTTTCCTTATCTATACATAAAGGAGTTTTGGTCATTGTGTCATCGAATGAAGGGAGAAAACGCAAAATGTTAAAGAAGTTATGTAGGTGAAGTATTGAGTACATTCCCTCTTGCCAAATATCTTTGCAAGCCTCCCTCCATTTGTTTAGACCTTTCTTCAATTTCATCTGTTCCCACTTTCTTTATTCTATGATCTTCTTAAAAAAAAAAAAAAAAACTGCCCCTGCCCTGGCCATGCAGAAATACATATACTTGTTGGTGAAGAGAGTTTATTTTGAAGTAATAATGCAATTTTATAGAGTTGTCGTCATTGGCCTCAAAGTGTTCCCTTTCTAGAAATTTATTAATCTTTTATAGACAATTGTGATCTCTTATGCTAACCATGTAATTCTTTGTTCGGCTGTATATCCAATAAAATTGTGATCACACTTTGAGAATTCAATTCACAAGAATTGACATTTTAGCACCTCCTCTCAACACCAATTAACGGAAGCTGAAGCTTGTGTTTTAAAAAACCTGATTTTCGACTAGCCCAGATGTATATAATCTTTTACATACTAAGTTTTTGATATGGACGCAACCCATATTTAATATTTATTTTTAAAAATTTATTTTAAAAAATAATTTTATATAATAATAATGATAAATATTAATAATTTTGTTAGGAACATTTAGTGGTCAAAATGATATAATAATCTTTTTCCTTGTTAGAAGTCTTCAACAGACAATAAAGAGTCATTTTGACATTTGTGTTGACCTAACATGTTAAGTCAATCTAATACATCGAGTGTCATATCAACTCGTCAATGTCCTTATTATCCCTTAATAGTCCCATATCGCTTATCTATATATATAAATATTAGGCAAACATTGAGGCAAGTTCAATCCAACCCTATTTCTTTTTATTACTCTTTTTCTAACCTCATCAATTCTGACTTGTGCGTCGAAGTACAAATACAAGGAACACTCATTGCCTTTGTCTCTAACTGTCCTTGTCTTTTATCTTATCAGGAATACCTCGAAGTCTGAGCTCGACACAAACATTTGGTACTCCAGATAAGGAATCTTTCCATCCACTGGCTGAGCACGAGATGATGCCACTAAGGAAGAAAACCTTAGAACAATGAGAGATGACCATCTCGATTGAAATAGAAATGCATAACTATCAACACTCAGAATGACCTCCACCACCATAGACAGGCTCAACCATGAAACAATTCCAGACATTGATCGAGCAAATTTAGACACTTAAACAGATGTTGTAGACTATAACCCTACCACAGGTTTCGAAAGTGCTCAACTTAATGTAAGACAACCAAGCTATAAAGAACTGGAAGCCTCTTCAACCTCTAGAAAAGAGGAGCATAACACTCTAGTTCACCATTACCCCAGCCCTAACTCAACACATGCCATAACCCAAAAATCTAAATAGACGAACTCCAAATCCCAACTGAATAAGGACTGAAAAGCTTGGATGCAAGTTATGGAGAAAAAACTAAAAACAAAAACAGTGGCATTCGAGGACAAGCTCAAGTTCCTAGAGACCTTGACCTTCACCAAAGAAATTGATAAAGCCATACCTCCGAAAGGATTTAAAATGCCAACCTTGAAAACCTACAACAGTACTTCTGACCCTATTGATTTTTTGGAACTTTATAGGACTAACATGATAAAGTAAGGCATAGACCAAACTCTAATGTGCAAAGGCTTGGCTACATTTCTGAAAGGCACGCTTGATCCTAGTACAACAAGCATGAAACTAAGGTCAATTACAACATTCAAAGAGCTCAGCCACTCTTTTTGTCTAGATTTGTGAGTAATCAAATAGCGAAAAAGACAACTCTAAGTTTGATTTCAATCCACCAAGGTCACAATGAATCTTTGAAGAGCTATGACATGCATTTTAATTGGAAAGCTTTGCAGGTTAAAAACTTTTAGCAAATGGTCACTATAGCCGCCTTGACAAGTAGATTTAACGATAAAAAGTACCACATAAAGTTAACCTTTAGGCTAGAATCACCTAAAACTCTGGTTGACATCCTACAGATCGTTGAGAAATACATAAATGCTAAAGCTATAATGAAAAACAATTGAGGTGAAAGAGACTTATCCCTCTTCTCGACGGTTAAGGTAAGAGACATTTATCCCCCCTAATTGGTTATAAGAAAGGTAAGGATTTCTACGATCCTCTCCTAAAAGGAAGATGACATAAGGTTAGAAACCTTAATGGAGAAAGCAACTACATTGCATCTTATTCCTCTTGAGAGAGGATTTTGATGCAAATTGAAAAAAATCCATACCTCAGATGGTCGAAGCCACTAAGAGAGAATACAAGGAGGAATCTAACTAAAAAATGTACCTTTCTTAGAGACATAGGCTATAATACTAAAGATTGTGTCAACTTCAAAAATGAGATCGAAGCTTTAAGTAGAGGGCAGTTGAGGAAGTTTATAGAACAACAAAGACAAGGTCATCCTATAACAAACTACAATGAAGATTAAAAAGAACCCATTCGAGACAAAGAGGAAAGGTAGAAAATGAAAGAAAAAAAGCTTAAAAAGATGAGTTGATTTGAGAAAAGGTTGAAATTGATAATAACAGGTCGATCACCGGAGTGATTAATGTGATCACTGGAAACAACTCTGCCTCGACCAAAAGAAAGTTCAATCTCGGCATGGTCATAATCGTAGACACCTTGACAATGAGAGAAAAAAACTAGAAAGATGAACTATCTCATTCAGCTCAAAAGATTTTAAAAGGAATTCAACACCCATATAATGATGCTATAGTGATCACGACTGTAGTATATAGCTATGTAGTCAAGAGAATCCTATTTGCTAATAAAAGCGCAGCCGACATCATGCACTACGACACTATAAAAAAAAATGAAAATTGGTGAAGATTAGTTGCAGTTGATCACCACAATATTAATAGGGTTTAAGAATGAGTAGGTACTGATGAAAGGAACCATTAAGCTATCAATTTCATTAAGGACAAAACTAAAAGACTATCACCTTAATCATAGAATTTTTGGTTGTCGACATCCCATCAACTTACAACACGATCTTAGGCCAACCTAGCCAATCTGTTATGTGGCTTATATGCTTAGTTCCCTAACTTAAAGTGAAATTTTCAACACCCAATGGGGTTGGAGAGATTAGGGTAGACCAA